AATTTAACAATGAGAGAAGATAAATAAGCTATGGTTGTGGAAAATCATAATTAATAATAATAAATGTTTTAATTTCAATCAATACTCTCTTTAATTATTTTAAAATATTTTCTTTGAAGGTGAGGAACCTGTGCCTATTTTTCTAGCGATTTTGTTAATGTAGTGAATTAATAAGAATTAGTTAATATTTAATTATTAGGTAACGAAAAATTATATAATTAAGTTGAATATATGCACATATATGCACATGGGAGTGTGTAATCAAAAGTAAAAATAGCAACATTAAAGTATAAAAATTATTGTGGCCTCCAATATCAATGGCTAATCTTTTTGCGGTAATGATAAGATGGTTCCTTGCCTCTGGTATAGAGTAAAGTCTGAACTTGTACAAAAAATAATTACTTCATATTACATAAAATAAATGGCACTAACAGTAAATGCTTTATTGATTTTTTCTAGACAATATATATTTAAAAACAAAAAAATACTGACTTCGCCAGAGTCATGGAGGTATAAGATAAAAAATTGATGTTTTCAGAATATCAAATCACCTATTCAGTATTTAAATATGTGATTGTTTGTCTAAAAACGAGGGTTCGTGATGATATTGATTTAAACAAGACTTCTAAACATTTGAAATAAATAAATAAATTGAAGAAGAACACAGAAGTTATCTTTTCAGAGAGAACAAAAGACTATTGAATGACCATACTAATTTGCGCCAGCAAGCCATTGGGAAGTTGGAAATAATTAATGAACCTAATACAAAAGTATTTCAAGATATATGTGACAGTTCTCAAAAGTAGAATTTCAACATGGTAGTAAAATATTGGTTTGCATGCGGCATGTGACATTGAATTCAATGCTTTTGAGAATCTTTTTACAAGTAATAAGTTTCCAACGAACCGTGAAAACAGTTTCGACACGTACTCACTACAACTGAACAAAAGACCAAGGCTTATAAAACCCCAGGGAGGACTCAGACCAAGGGTCTAGCTTAGGGACAGGAGACTCAATGACAACGGAGTATGGTCGATGTTGTCTGGATTCGAAACTCACTTACAAAAAGAGGGTACAGATAGAAATATTTACGCTCACATAGCTACATCGGTTGGTCCGAATTATGCCCATACTGTAGCTATCTGCTAAATATAATATTTACTAAAAACCGGTTTGGTATCTAGAATAAATAATTTTTAGGGAGAAAAAAAGTTGATATTCGTTTTTCGCAGCTCAAAAATACCTTAAATACCAATTTTTATAGGAATCAAAAAATTAAAAATTTCAAAAAAGGAAATTATGTCAATTGCAAAACTTATGATAACTTTAAAAAACGAAATCACCAATCCACACGAAAAGTAATTGTGATTTAAGCCTCTGTGGGCTACACGAAATGATATAAACCCGACCTTCGTATAGAAATTAAAACTAAAGATACACAATAAAAATGGGTTAGAAATTGTTCTTAATTTGTGGCTCGAAAAAAAAAAAAATGAAATTCAAAAGTTATTAGTATCAGTTAGAAAAGCAGTAATTCAGCTTTCCATTAGTTGTATTGAAGTTGAATTTGAAGACAATCCTGAGCAATGAATATTTTAGTTGACGGCCGGAAAAAAATTCATCCAAGAAAATCAAGTTTTAAATTTTTAATTGATATAAAACTTCATATTTAAGAGTTTCAAAGAACACTTAAAGCAAATATATCTTTTTTTCATAACAAAAATTTATTTTTCCAACTTTACTGGAAGCGATTTTTTCGTATTCTCCACAAAGAAAAAAAAAAAAAAAAAATCAACAGATATATAATACCCTAAAAATACGGACAAAGCAAAGCCAAAAATAAATAACACATATTTTGTTAGAAATTATATAAAATATTTTCTTCACTGTTCCTAGGATCCATTAAACGCCGGGATCTATGCCTAATATTTTATGATGTAGTATCACAAAAAAATTGGATTAAAATATCTCAGAAACTAAAAATCGGACATGCATACTGAAAGGGAAAGAAATGTTCAGCATTTCATCTATTTGTAATGAGATATAACTCAAAATTGTATTAGAGAGGTGTTAGCCAAAAAGGGAAAGTGATATAGTCAAAAACCAAGTGATAACGAGTTTTAAAAAAATATTTTGATTAAAATATCTCAAAAAGCTAAAAGTCGGACCTGAATACTGTAAGCGAGAGAGATTTTCAGCAATTAATTGTATTGTATTATATCAATGTTGTATTTTGATGTTACGCGGAGTTAGAGAGTCATAAAGGAAAAAAAGATATCGTTTTGAACATTTGGAATAAAATATCTCATTGATTTTTCAAAAGAAACATCGAACCTTTTATTTGATTTTTGAAATCAACCTTCAATTTTGATATGTCGAATGATGGAAATGAAAGTACAAAAAAATATCGAACAACGATTGATGGAGTTTTTGTTAGAGATTTAGCGAATATATTTATTATACATATTATTTATAAAACATAAACATATTGTATCATTTTTAGAATATGAAACAAATGACGATCAGTCAGAGCGAAGATTACTAGAGTAATTTATATACAATTATTATAGTATAAATTGTAAAAGTTATTACTTTGTGAATATAGAACATAAAATAATGTGTACATAATTATAATTGTATGTATTTTAAATGTTATTACTTTTATAAGAACAAAAAAATATTATATTTCATACTATTAATTCCGCATTTGTGTTTTCACTATTCTGTTGTGTGGTGTTAAGAAGAAAGAAAGAAAAATAAATTTTGTTCTGGGATATTTAGCCCTCTTTGAATAATTATAATGTCTGGCAATATAAAAAAATAAGAACAATTTTAGCTAACATAACATTATAATCTAACCTTATAACTAAAATAAATTAAGTACGAGTATATTGATTTGTACATAAATGTAAATGAGTGTGATCCTATATTTGTTCTGATTAGTAATATTGATAAAATGTAAGTTACAGTAACATAACAGTCAAATGAGAGTGATAGCTCTTTAATACGAAATTTTATTCTTACATGTATTCCGAAGATTGATTGCTAAGGAGGTGGTGGAAGAATAAATGAGGTTAAGGAAGAGGATTTGCGTATTGAGAGAGGTAGGGAATTCGAAAAAAAGGTAGCACGTATGATAAAGGATTTTTTAAAGGAAACGGTTCTATGAGAGGGAACAAACAGCTTTATGGACTGGGATCTCGTGTTAAACGAATGAACAGAGGAACAAGGAGTAAACAAATCAAGAAGGCTTTTTGGTTGTAAAGGATCGGAGAAGGAATACACCTACGCCCCTGGAGCCAGGGCCCAAAAATCGACCTGAAAGCAGGCGAAGATTTTATTGTAAATTACGAAAGTATGTGTTATTCTGAGTAAAAAAAACCTTCTGTATGTGTTATTCTGAGTAAAATTCAAAAATGGCGGCTGATTTAAAGAATATTAGGCCAATAATTTGAGGACCGAAACAGGAAATCTATTGCGAAAAATGTGAGCAAAGCTTCTATTTTTTTAAACTTGTATATATGGGTTTAGACATGTAAAAAACAAAATTTCTAACGCAGGCCACCAAGAGAAAACTTAGTACAGCCAAAAAAGTCATGTTTTTTCGATATGTTTTGGGTTTTTCATCTATAACTGCTAAACAATGCATCAAAGCGAAAAATGTGTTCTTTAATAAATTAAAGAAAGTTAAATTTTGCGTCAAAATAGTACATAAACTTTAAAATTTGGTTTCGCGGTAAGGTATAAAACCACGGTCAACCAACGTTGAGTTTTACGAAATTTGTCAAAAAGTGAGACAAATTACTATAAATGGCCCTGTAACTTGGAAATGAGTTCCCTAAGAGGAAAAACCCACAGAATCAAAGTTGTAGAGCATCAAATTTTGCGTATACTGGGTACTGGAATTTTTATTGTTGACCAATTATATATCTCGAATCGAGATTCGTTATTCCTTTATAAAATTCGGTATCTTTCGGCACATCGCTTACCAAAATCTTTTGCTGTTGAGAGGTGAAAAAGAGGCTTATACTGCATGTAACAGACTTTAAACAAAACTAAGTCAATAGAATAGACACCCTTACTGTTGAAATATTGAAAATCACGTTTACTTTCATTACCAATTTCCGGGACATTACCGATTTTGTTCGCAGCAAGTGACCTATATTAAATTAGTTGATACTGAGTATACGTAAAATTGATGCTCTACAACTTTGATTCTATGGGTTTTTCCTCTTAGAGAACTCATTTCCAAGTTACAAGGCCAATTATAGTAATTTGTTCCAGTTTTTGGCAAATTTGGTAAAGCTCAGAGTTGGTTGACCGTGGTTTTATACCCTACCGCGAAACGAAATTTTAAAGTTTATGTACTCGTTGGACGCAAAATTTGACGTTCTTTAATTTATTTTTCGCTTTGGTGCATTGTTTAGCAGTTATAGATGAAAAACCCAAAAAATATCGAAAAAATCTGACTTTTTGGCTGTAAAAAATTTTCCCTTGGTGGCCTGCGTTAGCAGTTTTGTTTTTTTACATGTCTAAACCCATATATACAAGTTAAAAAAATAGAAACTTTTCTCACATTTTTCGCAATGGATTTCGATCTTCAAATTACCGGCCTAATATTCTTTAAATCAGCCGCTATTTTTGAAAGCAGCGGCTCTGGAACGGTAGACAAGGTTCTTTTTACTCAGAATAACATGCAATTTCCTAATTTACAATCAAACCTTCGCCTGCAATCAGGTCGATTTTCGGGCCCTGGATCCAGAACATATTGCCGCCGGAAATCTAGATAGAGCCACTTCAACTCAGCACACGAACTGGAGAGGTGGAAACGCCTGGCGACTCCAAAGGGAAAACGAAGAACACTCAGAACTTTTTGAAAATCTTATCTTAATTACGAATTGTGGTTGAGATATAACATACGGCAGAAAACAACATCCCAACATATTAAAGCTATAACATTGTATGTTAATTATTAATTAATTAAAATATGTTGGACTCACCATGGTAAGGGTGTCGAGTTCTCCAAGCCAGGCGTTGAGGAGAGCTTCGGGGTCCTCCTGCCCGTCATCTTCTGTCATCTGGAAATAAAACGTTATGTTAAAAAACAATATAATATAAACAATATAATATAAACAATATAATATAAATAATATAATATAATATAGATATCACTTAATTTAAATAATTATAGATAATTTAAAACCTTGATGTCTGATAGTTTATAGTAAATTATTTATCAAAATAATAAAGGACACGAAGTATTTGAATTATTATGCTTACTTTTGGGAAAATATCAAAACTAATCAGGCTTAAAATCTTAAATAAATAATAAAAAAAATAAGATATGTCTAATAATGTGGCGGGGTTGCATATAAACATAATTTACAAATATCATTTCAGAGGTATTGTATTCTAATATGAGTTATTTTTTGAAGAAAAAAAAAAATGTCCACGTTACTTAAATCATCTTTGTCTCGAGCAAGACATACGCTGGCGCCTTATTGTTTTTAGCAGGCTACAAACGATTCTGGGTTTTCTTGTATAATTATCTTGTCCAGTTGCCAATTGGCCGCGGATCCGAGGGCTAACTAAAGGATCTATTTCTTTATTATATCGTTTGTAAAAATCAATGAAAACCAGTGTTTGTAATCGATAATTAAAAAAAAACAAAAACATCTGATCAACATTTTAAAAATCATATGATGATTTTTATTAAGGGCAGTTTTTAATATTGATCATAAGTGATAAAAATCATATCCTGATCATTATTTTTCAACAAAATCTTTACAATTAAGAATAATAATAATTCTTGAGTGATATTTTTTAAAATCAGAAATATAAATTTTTTGATCTTAAGAAAAATAAACCTCTATGATATATTTTGAGTCTGGAATAGTAGGTGGAAAATATTATTATATTATAGTGAAGAATATTTTTATTTTCAAAATTCATTAGAAATTTTGGCTTTCAAAAAAAAAAAAAAAGAATATATGCTTATATCGCGTGCTCAATTAAAGCGATTTCAACAATATAATATTAAAAATGGGTACATTAATAACGTATACATACACATTAATATTAAATTCAATTTTTTGATCAAAATTTTTAAAAATCATTTGATGATTTTTGTTAAGAGCAGTCTCTATTTTTGATCATAAGTAATAAAAATCATATTCTGATCAGTATTTTTTAACAAAATCTTTACAATTAACAACAATAATAATAAGTCTGGACTAATAATAATTTTTTAAATCAGAAATATAAATTTTTTGATCTTGAGAAATATAAATCTCTATGATATATTTTGAGTGTGCAGTAGTAGGTGGAGAATATTATTATATCTTAGTGTAGAATATTTTGATTTCCAAAATTCATTACAAATTTTGGCTTCCAAAAAAAAAAAAAAAGGAATATATATATACATATATCGCGTGCTCAATTTCAGCAATATAATATTAAAAAATGGGTACATTAATAACGTATACATTAATATTTAATTTAATTTGTGGGAAAAAGGTGATTTTTATTTTCTGATCAAAAATTTTTTAATCACAATTTAATCATTATTATTTATGTAAAACCTTATCACCACTCACTGAGAGATCATTATTTTTAATTGAATCAATAAACATCAAAGACTGATTTAAATTTTTATGTATAAATAAATCATGAATTTTAAATTAAAAATGAAATAAAATATTTATTACATGATTTCGTGAAAAAAATAATTATCGATTTCAAACCCTGATGTAAACTATTACAATTAATTCTGATATTAGGCCGATATTGCCTATATTAGGCTGTTTTGTTTTGTTTTTCGACTAAGATATATAGTCAGAGATTAGAACTATGTTTCTTCATTTTTCTGTTAATTGATTGATGTAGGTTTATTGTAATTTACATACGACCTTCTAAACTGTTTCACATTTTATATCCTACTTGTCTTGACATTATAAACTAGTATAGATTATTTTTTCATCATATTTTTATGTTCAGATACCAAGCCACTTCATATCATGTAAAGAATTTTACATGCACTTATTTATATTTAGTATAGGTAGAATTTATTGATTTAATCACTGTTGATCACGATTTAAATCCGTTACGTATTCCGAAAAGGGCAGGAAGAACGGATATCCAATAGGTTACCAAGCCGGAGTAGGTAGGTCGAAATAATTTCCGTAAATCCGCCAAGGAATTAGTCACACCTCATCCCCTCCCAACTGCCTCTGATACATCACGTTCCAACACCTTTGCCTCTATTAAGTATGAGAACCGACGATGCAAGTAGCAATACATTATAAATAAAATATTATTTATTTGTATCGTATATATCCGGATACAAGAAAATTATATAAACAAATGCTATATTATAAGTTGTGTACAATAACAAACGCATCACCTGCAAGACTTGATAACTTCCCATGACGTGTGAATTGATGACTGACACTCAACATCTGTGCGCTCCACAGTCGGATGTCTTATCTCCGCAGATAATAAACTGCCAACGACTTCCTCTCTTTGTTATGAATGGAGGAGCTGATTTCGCATCGTAATACTCTCTAGGAAAGTTAAGTAACAGGACGGAATATAACAACTTAAAGGAACTAAAATACAGTAAAGGAACCAACTTTGTAAAGCATTCCACACACCGACAATGTTTCAACTAATCTTTGGTGTATTGTTCCTTAACTTATGTCCTGTCATATTTTTCATCAACATAGTCTCTGATAGGTGCGCAAGAATGAATGGTCTAACACATATATACAAACATTGTTAAATTAGCCTAATTTTCATAAAACGAAGAAATATGTCGTAATTATTAAATTCAAATATTAATTAATTATCTTCTTATTTTTATTTTTTTTATTTTTTATTAGGAAGCCTACGTTTATAATTTTTTCATATTTAAGGCAATAATACTTCCAATTTTCTTTAAATTTTTTAAATTAAATTTGTTGTCTCTTACGTTTCGGGACAATTTTCCCATCATCAGAGCAATCTTTATCTTCAGTAAAATTATGCACATTTTATATTAACTTTTATTTAAAAATATCATTCTATTTCATCTATTGAACAATTATTTACCCTTCTTTTTTTGATGTGGCATCATTTGTCAAAAATCAAATATTTGTCATATTTTTTAAAACTATTTTTTGGTGTTACACATCATTACATATTCATTGATAAACTAATCAACATCTGGCTATCTTTAGTTTTATTTCTGTACTTTGTACCTGTCCTCCTGTAATATTAATTAAATTACAGTGAAAAAGCTTGATTAATCGATTACAGAAGACTATTTCCAAAGCCACGGGCATATTTATAATTTTAATGAGGAGAAAAATATAAATTGTATTAAACTAAAATTATTTATTCTGGATTCAGATATTTAAATATTATATTATTGAAATTTTTGTCTCTCAGTTCATCATGATAGAATTAATTGGATGTTGAGATATATAAATATTTTTTTCAAGAATGAAAATTGCTTGACTTGTTTTTAGTTCAATTATTTATTTGGCAACATTGACAAAAATTGGTAATTATTGAAATTAAATAGTTTTCGTTATTGCATAAAAAAAAGTGATTTTCGGTGGCACACACACACACATGCACACATCTCTGCTCAGAATAGGATGGTTTGTTTGATTTTTTTTTTTGTTACTTTCCTTACCGGAAAATCCTGAATATTTTATTTATAAATCTTAATAAAGTAGCTATAAGTTCCAGGGATGTACTTATTTCAAATACGCAATTTTGTACGACTTTTCTTTATTGAGCTTGGCTGTTTACAAATATACTGACACACAACAAAGAGACAGACTATTTTGTGGTACTTCGTTATTTGGACACAGGAGCCTATAACACTCGTTTATCTGTAGTAAATTCAGATTCGAATTTTTCACTAATCGCAATATGTTTCCTTATTATATATTACATATGTAATATAGTGAAAATAAAAAAAGATGGTTATAAAGTTGTTTTACACAAACAACTATCAATATCTCGGATATTGCTGAAAAACTGGAAATACGGTATTAACCTGAATATTGTATCTAAAAATATATTAAATTAAAGCATGAATAATAATCATTAAAAAGTTTAAACTAAATTATAAGCTTTCAGATCCGATTCAGACTTTAAATTGTTTTTATAAAAATAATGAATTTAGAATCATCTTCTTTCTTTCACGCCTGGCACCGATATACCACAGCTTGTATAATGTTTATCATTAGTAAAGAAAAAGTATTATTTATTTTCTAACTCACAGGGAATCCCTAGCCTTTCGAGAAAATAATCTGAGTCACATCTGGTAAATTGCCAAGTACGTTCGTCTACTGAAGCGAAAAATAGTCTTATATATTCTGTTGTTTATACAAATGTTCATGAAGTTTGCTTAGTAAAATTAAACTGTATATCATATCAATATAACTGATAAAAGAGTGAGATTCTGATATATTGATGTTTTGAAATATATATTGGGTTGGCGAATAACTACTTTCGGTTTTTCAGAGTGAAATAAAACTCAAGATATTATAGACATAAAATTTATATTTATATACAATATATTGACCATTATTTAATATGATCTTTTCCCGTCTTTTCACTAACTACATAATGCAATTTCCATAGAATGTCTGCAGTTTATTGTTGAAAAACTGATCCAATTGGTTTTTGATGTCCTATTTCTTTTGGAATTTCTTTCCATTCATGGAGTTCTGCAGAGAGTGCTAGTCACTTGGAGCTAGGTCTGGTGAATAGGGAGGGTGGGCAAAAGATCCCATTCAAGGCTCAATAATTTATTGCGAGTGACCAATGAGAAGTGGGGGGGGGCCTAGCGTTGTCTTGGTGGAACACAACACGCTTCCGATCATTCATAACTCTTCAGGATATTCTCCAAATTCGATTTTACTAAATCCGTTGGAAAGCTGAAGTATTGCTCTTCAAATCAGTATGAATGTTTTTTTTTTATTTAATGCCTACATAAGGAATAAATAAATAAAAACTCCTTATAGGTTTTTTTTTTATTTTTTATCTTCATTTGCAATTTGTTTGCGAAGGTCCTGTTGATGTC